CTTCCTTTTCCACAAACCACCCACCTAACTCTGTCTAACAAACTAAAGTAACCAGCACGGCTAACAAAAATCGACAATGAGGTGCACACATAGACGGCTGCATAAATCTCATTATTTCACTTTTTTTTTTATGTGTTATCAGAACCAGCAGAAAAGAAGAGGATGTCCTCCCAGCCAGACCCGTACATTTATCAGTTAAGGCACTCAACTCAGTAAAGAGGACAACAAGACTCACGGGAAGCTAAAGATAACGTTGCCGCATGGAGAAAAAAAACAGCACTGTTGTAAGTCAAGATTCTCATTTTTTAAGAAACTACTACACACACTGCTACCATTCGACTGGTAAATCAAGCTTTATGTAGCCTGATATTAATGGTCGATCAGTAGAATCCATTTTTTTTTAAAAATTCTTTCCCAGTGTGACAAAACCGCCAGAGTCCCAGAAAAACTTGTTGAAATAACATTTTGGTATGACCTGCCGAATATAAATTTCAGACAAACACGGTAGTACTGAATCCGGACGGCGAAGAAAGAAATTCCTGTAAAAAAATAAAGAGCTAAGAACGTCTTCAGTAATGAAAAAGACACTCAATATTTTCAAGAGGACCAAAACAACAATCCTAACTAATGCAGCATTTGAACCAAAACTGATCCAAACAAACATACAAAAGAAAAAACAAAAAAGAAAGAAAACACCCAGCACTAAGACAAACAGTCTCTAGGGACTAACAGGACAAGCTCTAGTGAACAACGCTTTACAGAAAGGCAAATTACTATAAAAACAATCGCAGCTAGCTAGAAACGTATTCTTGGACACTACCGGGCATAAATTTCAATCGGCCTGTTCTTAGACAACGGTATGATCAGTATTCAGCTCTTATTTGCAACAGGCAACATTTTGGAGAGAGCAACGGAGCATCAATGGACATGTCCGGAGTGCAGGGATGTTGATTCCTGAAACAATGAACAATTGCAGCAGGTGCGCCTATTTGCTAAACATTCATCATAATCATGAGCATTAAAAAAACAAAACAAAGCCAAACAAATACAAATAATACAAGTACGGGCTATATATTCACGATATATTGACACCAAAGCAACACGAGAAGAAACATTATTTTATTTTATAGTAGAGGGTTTTACAGCGCTCGCAACTGCGTAAGGTCATATGAGCGCCAAGGGGTGAGTGTCAACAGAGAAGTCTTTACAGGGAATCAGACTTAGACTGCTCACCTCTCTAGCTTCAACAGCACAAGGTCTGCTACGACTACCAAGGCACCTCAAAATAGCAGGTCAAAAGAGAGTGACAAACATACAAAAGAAGTAGAGGAAAATGACAAACATAAGCGTTTTTACTTATGATAATTACTGGTTTTGGAGTCCAACCCTCACCCCCTCAACAATTTTTTTCATGAACAATCCTCTCCTTCGTGAGGAAAAATAAAAAATATCAGTTAGTTAGTATGTTTACTGGCATCTTTTTAAGGAATGTAAGGATGTGACAAAAGTCTGTTGAGGAAAAATGTACAGTTTGGCACTTAATGTTCACCAGCTGCATATATGCATCTGCTATCAGATGACCAGCTAGCTGAATGCTTGTAGTCCAATGTGTGCATGAGTTTGTGTGTGTGTGTGTGTGTGTGTGTGTGTGTGTGTGTGTATGAGCGGGTGTGTGTGTGTGTGAGTGTATGTGCGGGTGTGTGTTTGCGGGTGTGTGTGTGTGTGTGTGATTGTGTGAGTGTATGAGTGTGTGTGTGTGTGTGTGTGTGTGTGTGTGTGTGTGAGTGTGTGTGTGTGTGTGTGTGTGTGTGTGTGTGTGTGTGTGTGTGTGTGTGTATGTGTGTGTGAGACCATCCTGGTCGCAAGACAAGACGTAATTTTGTTTGAGCAGCAAGGAAAGGAAAAACTTGAGTCTTCGACAGGCAAAACAAAATAAAACATTTGGTGCCATACTTCAGCAATATCCTTGACCTTTTAGCACAATTAAATTTGTCTTCTTTAATTTATACCACCAGAGTCTTTTCACAGAATATACAAACATAAACGGGAAAATTACATCACCACCTGCGGTAGAAACATGCATCATACAATGTCATCAACAACAAAATAGTAACAACAACAAAATGTAACAAAAAAAACATTTGTTACAAAAATATCAGCAACAAAACAAGAATGAAAAGGGTGAAAAAACAATAAAATAAAAGATAGGTTTTCAAAAATAGACAACAAAATTTGTGACACAAAAACCTACTCTTTCCAAACCTTTAATCAGTGGCCACTTCTTAACTTCTTTCTCTATTGCAGAGTAGTCGATATTTGGTTCCACCAATGACATGCTACAGTAAGTACGTACAGTTAGGATTTTCCACCTATATCAGATGGGAATTGAAATTTTTGTCTCATTTTGTCAGTCAAATACCTGCAACTATGATCAGCCAGAATTTGCAATGCACCAGCGGAGTTGCATACATACTAAAATGAGAAAATCTAAAGAACAGACAGCAGTTTACTTTGCAAATTAAAATTCAACCACACTTTGAATAAGAAAGAATTCAACCTTGAAGCAAAAACGATATTTTCCTGAATACAAAGACTAGATTGGTTCCATTTGTCTTGATCAAGGCTAGTAAGACGTTCAAGGAGAATCAATCTGGCCAAAATTTAAACCTCATTTCAGTCACATACAAAACTGATTAAAATAAACTTATAAACAGTTGATCCGAAACCCAAATTTCACCCAAGAGGCTGCTCTGACAACAGAGAGGAAAGATAACAAAATTCGGTTCCAATTCACATCAAGTGATCTTTCTGTGCTAGAAAGTAGGAATAGCCAGCCAGCCACCACAGAACAGTGATGTCAGCCAACGCTGCAAAGTGAAAAAAAATAGGTACACATATATTGCACCTGTAAGTACACTCAAAACTAGATCAAAGTATAAAATTATATTCTTTAAAAAAATGTATTTAAAAAGTAGAACGTCTCAACCAAGTGCTGTGTATACAAAGGGAATTTTTTTCCACCATTTCACAAAATAAATTGCAGGACATTCTGAGAGAGATTCAAGCAGCCAAGATAATAAATCTCCAAAAAAGTTTTAAAAGACAGGAAAATAAGTTGGGAGTCATAAGCATTAATATTGAGACAGCCAGTTCAAAGATCTCTCTCACAAAAAGCAGAACATAACAACACCCTGCATCACAAACAACGTTTTAGCTTTTGACTAAAACAAGACTATGACTTTCAAATCCAATAATTATAAGAAGCAAAATCTTAAGAATTTGCAGAAGATTGCAAAACAGTCCAGTCATCGTACTGATGGTAATTTTAGTTTACTTTTAGTAAGAGTCTTGAGACGCTTGCAACATAAATAAGATGTGCAATTTTTAGAACAACATGAAGAGTGTTCTAGACCAAGGTACATTCTAGAACAAGGAACAGCACACACAAACACTAGACACACACAGATGGTGTTAGACAGGCTACATCACCTACCAACATGAGCTCGGAAATCACAACCAAGAAAAACTCTCATTAGTTTTTATTAGTACAATCAAACCTAAAATGCTATATGACTACCCCTTTTACATGACCCAACAAATTGACAGAGTTTGCTGGAATTTCTTTTTATCAAATTGAGGATTTATATATAAATTTTGGGCGTACATATCATATCAATATGCCAGGAATTCAAATCTATCCAAGATTACCCAAAAAAAACTGACATGATGCTGAAATGAAAATTGATTAGCAAAATGTAGAACACCAATCCAACCAAAATCCAAGCCGCAGGGGAGGTTGTAAGTCATGAAATGCAACAAAAGATTAACCTATGACCAAAACAAAAATGAATGAAAAGGGGAAAAATTACAACCCTTCCTCCCTAAAAAAAAAAAAGGCAAAGTCAAACTTCAGGTAAATATGACAGTCACTTTTAATTTTATAAACTAAGGAGTATCCACCCTATAGTAAGATTAAGTTGAGGACAGTTTTCATTTCGGGGTAAAAACGCCAGTAAAACCAACTCTCCGAAAAGATGCTGTCCAACTCAAAGGTCAAGGTTAAGTCCTGTGTGCACGCTCGCCAGCCGCCTAAGATTGTTGCAGCCGATCCTAGTCCTTCTTGGCAAAGCATGCGGCGATACAGCCGACCATGCAGACACAACAGCAAGAAGCGGCCATGATGATGTAGGCGGCGGTGGTGATCCAGAAGGCGAACCAGTAGAGCGTCGGGTCACAGTAGTTGGGGTCAGTCTCCACACTGGACCTGTCGTCCGTTCTATAGATGAACACGCAACCTGGACACGACAAAGATGGCACGTTGTTAATTGTATTGCAAACTTTTCTCGCGTACATATCAATACAATCCGTGGCTGAACCGAAGCTCGAACCAGGACTTTCTGCTTCGGAGACAAGTGCATTAACCACTCCGCCACCCCGCCACTGTAAGCTACAGGCTGTAAAAATACTGCAATAGTGCTTTGCGGTCGTGTCGCCACCGTGAACGACAGCAAAGTGGGAATCTCTCAATGACGTCAAACAAGATGGCTGTTACTATAAATATCGGCCAATGGCGCACATCTGTCGTTCTCAAGTTATCCGTATGTCCCATCCCCTCCACAGACTTAACACAGTCCATCCACGCAGCACGTAGAGTATGCAACACTTGTCTTGTTCCCGCGGACCAGGATACAGATGCGGTACATCAGTACTACACCTGTATCTCTGCAAAAATACCCCAACCATTATTAAAATTTCAGCACACTGAGAAAATTTTTAATGATGGTCGCATGCTTACTAAGAAAGGAATTAGAATCGAAACTGAAAACATTAGACGTAGCTCATTCTTCACCTGAATTCTCATCATAGCATAAGAGTAAAACAACACTCATGCTAGGTCTACTCGACATTTTAAAAAAAAATTAATATCCAATTGTTGTATACTAACTGATTTTCGATCTCAAAGGCCACAAAAACCATTCAGAAAAGAAATTTAACTTTAACAAGTGCGCATGTCAAAAAACGAGATCATTGCAACGTGTTATTTTTGCCACATCCCATCACACCGTCGCCGATCAGCGTCCCGCGAGGAAAAGTGACGGTTTCTTACCGTTACCGATCAGCGTCACGTGTGGGCAAAGTGCTAATATTTTGCACTCATAACCTCCACTTACCAGCGATGAACCAGCCGAAGAGAAAGCAGTTGACAATGCCTTCCACGGGATTCACTTTCTTTTGGTCCTCCTCCCTTTCTTGCTCCGACTTGCGACACCGTTGGACCAAGCTGAAGAGGTTTTTGGCCGCCCCAAAGGCTCCCGCCACAATCAGGTAGATAGGAATCATCCTCTCAGCTGGACAGTCATCCAGATAAACTGAACCTGAAAGATTTAGCTCAGCTTTAGTTTGAGTAAAAGTTTTAAGGCACTTCCGACACAAAAAAGTCATTAAGTGTAGAAGAATAGAGGTACCACTAGAATTAACATACAAAGAAAAGAAGGAGGAGAGATAAAAAGATCGGGACGATAGAGCTTTGACAGAAAGGAAGTAGCAAGCCAAATAAGAGCACCTGCTGAACACCCACTGAGTAAACAGAAGTGCATTGATACAATAACGGTCATTTGGTGCAGAGGAAAAGCACAAAAAAAAGATGTCGACAGGCAAAAAAAGTCGAGACAAAAAAAGAAGTGGGACCCGCCAGTAGCACCCTCCAACCACCTGCTTGGGGACAGACAGACAGACAAAGGGAACAAAGAGACAGAAAAAAGAAACAGAACCTCCTGACAAGGTCCCCCAACCAACCAGCATAACAACACCCCTGAAATATCCCTTTACTCACACCTCATTTAGTTTGGTAGAGGGTTTTACGGCGCTCGCAACTGCATATGGTCATACGAGCGCCAAGGGGAGGGTGTCAACAGAAAAGTCCTTACAGGGAATCAGACTTACTCTGCTCACCTCTCTAGCTTCAACAGCACAAGTTCAGCTTCGACTATCAAGGCACCCCGGAAATAGCAGGTCACAAGAGTGTGACAAACATACAAAAGAAGTAGAGAAAAATGACAATAGTAAGGATAAGGAAAGAAAATGCAGCAGTTCCCTGTTGTAGTTCAGTCACAGTTATGAGCATGACATTGTTGAATCAGCCCATTTACAACATTATTAGGTTATAATCTAAGAGGCGGAACCCCCAAATTTAAATTCCGTCCCCAATAGGACTGACCTTAGTGGGTTGGGAGATTTGAAAACTAAAAGAAAACAACCTTGGTTCAAAAACACCCAGACAGGGATGTGAACCAGGGTCATCAGCTCTGTAGTCCAGCATGATACCAACTGAGTTAGCGGAGCGCCCCAGGAAGACAACTAGCATTTGAGGGAAACAGTGGAGAGAGGTACAAGGAGCAGGCCACACCAGAAGACCCACCCCTTCCCTACATGCCAGAACACATTCATCCCCTTACCTATCTTTTTTCTTTATCTTTCCTACCAGAAAATCTGGGGTGTGGCTGAAAGACAGCAGTAAGGAGCCAAGGGGTAGCAGCAGAAAGGCTGCAGAAAGAGTCAGGAGCCCAGAAGAGGAGGCAAAAGAGGTGAGGGGGTGGGGGTAGAAAGTGGAGACGAAAGCAGAAGACAGAACATCGATAGACAGCGGGAAAAGAGGTGAAAGGAGACAATTTTAGAGAAGAAAATTTTTTCCCGTCGCTATCCGGATTCGAACCCGGACCTTTGAATGAGAGGGGAACACCTTAACCTCTTGGCCTCGAGAGCCCCCACCACTTACCCATTACGATCATCGAGACTGGGACTGCCATAAAGATGGCCAGGAGGATCGTGAAGCCGACTGTGAAAAGGAGGAAAAAAAAAAAAAAAAAGAACAAATGCATTAGAGCAAAGATCACTTAATTTTACAGCGTTACAGTCAACACTGTCTGGTCACAGGTTGGTAGGTCAGGTTGGTATTTTATTCAGTGCTTGCCATAAAATGAGTCCCTGGTACCTGGAGGTGCCGTTATTTATCTAGCTCAGAGGTGACATTGACATTGCATATGGTTCTAATTAAATCATTCTCAAAATATCCTCTCCTACCGCCCCCCCTCTCTATACTATTTACGCTGGAACCACAACTTCAGCATCAAAAGGTTTTAGAGTTTATGGGCATAGTGCCTCGACAGTTTGAGCAGAGATATGCATATACAAATACTATTTATTATCTATTATTATTAATCATTAAGATCATAATATTGCAAAGGGAAACTAAACTGTATTCACTTTCCTGAATACTGATGATTACTCACCTCCTTAAAAAAATTAACTGAACATCACAAGCCCATAATATAATCGCAATGTTTGTGCCCTCTTTGTGCCAACCCATTTTTTTTTTTCTTATTTTATGGTGAAGCCCCTAAAGCCACCAGGGAGTGGGCACTATAGAAGTGATCTTTAGTATATTATTATTATTATTATTATTATTATTATTATTATTATTGTCATCATCATTATTATTATCATTGTTGTTACTATTATTATTAGCATTATCATCATCACATTTGAAAATAACACAGCTGACACTGACATGACTTGAACTCTATGATCTCAGACGTGAGCAAGCTTACTTGTGGAGAGGATGATGACCAGAAAGGACTTGAGGAATCCCACAGTGCCATCCGACTCTCTCTTGGCTGCCTTCATCCGGCCATACAGTGAGTCATACGAGGGTGGAGGTTCTGAAAGGGCAAAAACATTTCCCAGGGGTAAGGGACAAACGTATTCAGTGCCAGTTCGACAGAGACAACATAATGATAATAATGATAAATTACATTTGTCCTAGAGCTCAGAGTGCATTTCCATCAAGAGAGTGCTTAACACTTGGCGCAATAATGCGACGGTGAAAATTATCCGTTCCGGTCACTGTACCAGGCCCGAGAAGTCTGTTGCAGTCACTCTCCTGGCTGGGTGACCAGATGGGGTATTTTGTACTGCTGGCTGTGTGACTGCAAAGTGTTTAATGCACTTTACAATATGCGTAGTACAAAGAACACAGTTCTACTAGTGATTCTTTCACTCCCTCTGTGTATCTCTCTCTATCTCCCTGTGTCTCTCCCCCCCTCTCTCTCTCTCTCTCTCTTTGTCTTCCAACTCCCTCTCTCTGCTTTCATCAAAATTTCATAGATCAAGACAGTAAGAAAACTAACAATGTGCGATACCGTATAAGAAGGTTTGACTGTAAGTTAGTACAGTTTGAGTCACATTTCGCTGGGCCCGCATAGAAATAAAGAGTCCTTTTCCGGCGAATTGCTTACCTTGATTGGCCGACGCCTCATGGTAAGTGGGCAGGCCGTCTCCCCGGGCGTTAACATTGTCCCTCTCTGTGTATGTGGGAGGAGCTTCCACATCTCCCTGGAAAATGGTTAAAGAAAAGAAAAAAATTCAGACAAAGTTGATATAAAAGCAGTCTTATTTTTCAAAGCCATGTTGGACAGACAGATATCTTGATGCCTATTCTTTTTAGCTTTGGTTAGAGGTTTACAACACTTGCAATGCACTGCATTATTTTCTTAAAGGTTATTTTCCATAAGGGAATTCACACAAAAAGATGGATACAGTATTACTAAAACAAACAAATACAATAAGAACATCTTTATACGGTGGATAAAATATACATAGCAGAGGAGCAATTTTTACAAAGTGGTTAGAAAATATGTGTCACGACTCACAATGCAAAGGAATCAGGTGATCATCAATTCTTGGGCATATATGGAGTTATTAGTATCATCTTAAAGCTTACTCACTGTCTTGCATTTGGCGAAAAAAAAACACCCATTTATCTGGAACTGAGTGAAGCCGAGATATTAACGTTGCAGAAGGTGGGGGTCACCTGGTGTCGGAGACAAAATTAGCAAGAAAATGGCCGCCAAAGTTTGGTGACTCCCAAAGCTTTAAAAGTGTCCTTGGAAACTGTAAATTTCATTTTACACGCCTTTGATCAACATTTTTCTAAAAAATTCACACAGAAATGTATTTTTTAAGAGACATAAAAGGTGTTGAGTTAAAAAAATTAAAATTTGAAGAAAAAAAAAGAAAAGAAACGGCCAGAAAAATGCCTGTTTCTTTGATTTCATTATTTTCTTGCGCACCTGATTTCACCACGCTGCCTCACATATATATATGAGTTTTATTTTGTTTGTATTTCAACAGAAAGGAAATACATTAACAACTGTATCGTTTGGACAATCTTAAGAGAAAAAAAATTGTTAAACTGTCGTTGAGTTGTTTACCTCTCGTAACCAGAATGCAACGATAGCCACACTTCACCAAATCCACATTATCACAGTGGTTGTAAGAGGGCAAAATCCTTCTGCCGAGAGCAAGAGTCTCCACCTTTTTTGTCTGAATCGACTCTCAGACAAAAAAGATAAAAACGCTAACAAACCCTGTACATGTACAGTACCTTCCTAAAGACTGGATGCAAGAAAATCATTTTCTTAGACTTCATATTTTTAACTCCAACGAAAGTAGAGAGGATACGGCCAATTTCGTGTCAATTTAATCCTTACGCTGTAACTCCCTGAAAAATTGAATAACTTTGTAATTCTACTAAAGGGGCAGGGAATAAAACAAAACTGCATTCTTTTTTTATACAACAACGACTGGTTGGTCCCTGCAGTCTCAAGCTGCCAAAACGTGTTATTGTTATTGATTATAAGCAATTTCTTGGCAAGGCTGACTACAGTATTCTACACTACTATGGTAATTGAGAAATGCAGCAGCAGCAGCATATGGTGCATGCCTGAGGCTAACATTTGGTTATTCAGAAACACGGCGGGTACTTTTGTTGTGACTTTCAGTGCAGAACACAATTTGACCTGATAGAACTCTGTGCAATGTCATGATAACATTAAAATCAAATCATGGCAGCTGCCTTCTTTAACAATTTGACACTATTGTCTGCTTCTGTGATTTCCTGCAAATACATGATTAGACTGTAGATAAAGTGAACTACTACATTTGAAGTTTATTCTCAGAGAGGGATTAAAAGTTGTTGAGGCCAGCTGTTTTTTTTCTTTTCTCAAGCACCTTGTACCTTAATTTCAGGAGACTATGGAACAAAAAGAATGAACATGATGACAACAAGACAAAAAGTTCATAGAATAGAGGTACTGTTCCGGGGCTTTTTATTTTGGGGTGCAGTTATGGGGAAATGAAACCGATCCTCAGCTGAAGATGAGATGTTGTGGCCAAGGAGACCATTTTGGACAAAACGAAATTATTTCAGAGATTTTTAAGCTTAGAACATTTGTCACCAGAGGGCAGTCACAGATCTGTTTTTATACTTTTTCAATTTAAAGCTGTGAATTGCAGTGGCATATTCCATGATATCATGATACTATTTTAATTCCATTGCAAAAATAGAAAATATTTTTTGATTAAAAATAAAGTCTCCTGCTTGCATCTTAAGGGTTAGAAGGTGTTCTCTATTCTCTATTATATATATACTGACCAATTTCTCTGCGATTTTGAACAGGGATTATTTTTTTTAATTTGCTGGTGTAGTCTGACTTTGCAGGCCTATTCCTTTTCAAATTTGATTTCCACTCAAAGATGGTACCGGAGAATTTCATACACATTTTGTAGAGAAACAGAGCAAAACCAACAAGTCTTTCTTTGCTTAACCAAAGAGACTGGCGAGGTATGAAAAAAGGCTAAAATACACGCATTCCTGCAGCGGACTTTTATAACATACACTTCGAACAAAACATAATACCATGAATGCGGACAGCTCTCAGTTACAAGTTCACACACATACTATGTGTGCTAACAACCTAAAATCCAAGAGAGTGTGGCATCCTTCAGAACCAGAACAAGTGGTAAAGAGGATTGTAGAGCAAGACAAGCAGTTTGTAAGTGTGTTAGTGCCCAGCACAATCATGAGAAATACAACTTAAGGGAAAGAAGTATCTCGAGCAGTACAGTATCATAAAATGTGGCCGAGACAAATCATTTTTGTGTATCTTGTCCTTCTATTTTCAGTATGTCATTGCCATATCATGAATAATTTTCACAAGAGCACAAAAAATTATCTTAAGACAAAACACTGATGAAAACATTTATTTTAAAGTTTAATTCTACAGCCCTATATGGCTCCTAGGTCCATACTTCCAGATTTTCATACTAATTAACACGCAATTACACTTGTGCACTCTCTCTCCTTCTATTTTAACTCTACATATATTAGCATACACACGTGTGAGCATGTACCTATGGACAACAGAAATAGAGGAGCACTATGTTCGAAACATTGACATTGACGATTAAGTCGGTTGAGGTTTTAGAAGAGCCTGTTTCGACTATCTATCTGGTACATTGACAGGACTGAAAGATCACATCATGAGAAAATTCAGACTAAATTTTTATCATGTTTGAAATATTACAGCGCAACTATTTAGTTTGGTAAAATAGGTGTATTATAATATCAGCCTTCGATTATCTTTCCATAGTGATCATACTAAAGGCAGCTGTTGCATGACACCTTTGCGGTTTTCCTTAACCTGTCCACAGCGGTTCCTGTCCAAAATAGCCATGATAAGTCATTTTCACCTCAAGTCGACCTCAAATCCCTGATCATAGCAGCCATTTGCTGCAAAAGTTTTCTGTGAACCTGCCCTCGGATTGAGAGTGATGTTCAGTGCAAAGAAACAGAGCTTGGCTTATATAATCACCTGGCTATGCACTACATGTTACTAAACTAAGGGGGGGGGGAGAGAGACTTCAGAGTGTAGCGCACATATATATCTAATGATGTTCGATTGCCTATAGATAATCCTTTTTCTCCTCAACAATGGGTGGCCGACTTGAACATTTTTTGTAGGCCTACTGTGTTTGCATGATTCTGACAATCTGATAACAAACGATAACAGTCGCAAACTATGAAAGTCTGATAAAAAAGTGTTTTTAAAGATAACAGTGTACAAATAAACATGCTAAAAAAACGAAGGCCAACACTATATTTCGTAATCCTCTTGCATATGTTTTGATAGAGAATTCTAGTGGGTCTGCGAGGGAAGCAACGGAAGACGACAAAAATAGAAGATGGAAATACATCATCTACACTATACTAGGGTCAATCAAAGAGGTGTGCTAGGTGCTCACTGCAGCTTCATGTGTTTATAGAGTATTGTCTCAGTTGAATTACCCAGCACACAGTGAAAAAAAAGTTTAGTGTTTCAATTTCCCTTATATACGAGGGACGTCCAGAAAGTAAGTACCGTTTTACAATAATTATAAAAGTATAATTTTCCCCTTAAAAAACGATTTATTTTTTAATACATCATCTACTTCTCTACGTAGTCACCAGAACTGTTGAGGCATTTGTCATAGCGAGGGACGAGCTTCTGAATACCCTCATTGCGGAAAGCTGCCGCCTGTGATGTCAGCCAATGTCCAGTCTCTCCTGTGAGATCAGTGTCTGCGTCGAAGTCCTGCCTGGCCAAAAACTTTTTCAAATATAGGAACAGATGAAAGTCACTCGGAGCCAGGTCTGGGCTGTATGATGGGTGCTTCAACTGTTCCCATCCGAAGGAGGCGATCAGGTTTTGGGTCTGTGCAGACTTGTGAGGAGTTGCATTGTCGTGAAGCAGAACAACGCCGTAGCTAAGCACTTCGCGTCTTTTGTTTTGAATCGCTCTTCGCAGGCCGCGTCAGGAAAAAAAAGTCACGTGTACAGTGTTTTGGGACAGGCAAGGATCTCGAGTTCTTTTAGTAGAATTTTGGGGAAATGGGATGACAATTAACTCTGATGAGTACTGCAACACACTTAAAAAACTGCGTACAGCAATTCAAAACAAAAGACGTGTAATGCTTAGCGTAAGCGACGTCGTCGTTCTGCTTCACCACAATGCAACTCCTCACAAGTCTGCACAGACCCAAAACCTGATCACCTCCTTCGGACGGGAACAACTGAAGTACCCATCGTACAGCCCAGACCCGGCTCCGAGTGACTTTTGAAAAAGCCTTTTATGCCGGGCAGGACTTCGACTCGGACGCTGATCTCACAGGAGAGACTGGACATTGGCTGACATCACAGGCGGCAGCTTTCTACGATGCGGGCATTCAGAAGCTCATCCCACGCTACGACAAATGCCTTAACAGTTCTGGACCTGGTGAATGCGTGGAGAAGTAGTCATCAGTCATACAAGGTATTCAAAATTAAATCGTTTCGATTGGGAAAATTATTTCTTTTATAGATTCTAGATCTAGATCTAGATCTAGAATAGATCTAGAATCTAGATCTAATTATTTTAAAACGGTACAACTTTCTGGATGTCCCTTGTAGATTCTATTTCCTGTTTTGAATTTGTGAATTTTTAAGTGTAGGCTACAGCCGACTACAGGCCTTCTGAATCTAGATTAGATCTCTAGATCTAGACTAGATCGTTTAGATCTACCATATAAAGTTCTGTAAATATTAGACCTGCAACTCACAGTCTCATCTGGGACATTGGCTATTTTTTAAAGTTTTTACCACCTCAGCCTCAACTGACATGACACTGACAGAAAATCTAGAATCAAGATTCTATGCATACAATGCAAACCGGAAAAACAGTTTGGATATCAAGCTTCAATACGTACTTTCACTTTCACCGACAAAGATAAAAATGCATACAAATCTTCACCGCGTTACCTTTAGAGTTAAAGATTCAGTTTCTGAGCCTGCCGACATTTTAATTCTTCCCGTCCAGGTCCTTCTCTGGCCTTGATAAAATTACAACACTTTGATCAATAATAAGTGAAAAAAATAATAAAATAAACGTCACGTGAGCAGCAATGCGTGGCGGGTATTCCCGATGTTTCCCCCGAAAATGCAGCCAAAATATTTTTCGTGGGCAATCACATGACAACGCACCTTTTTTTTTTTCTTGCGGAGTTCACTCACTCAGCGCTCGGGCAAGAAACAAGTTGAAATCGACTCATAACTTGCCCATTCATAATAAGTGAGCAGTACCCGTAAATTATGCTGTAAATAAAACACACATACTGGCAATATTCGGCAACAAAAACAAAAAATAATTCATTGGTAGCAAATGTTATTAAACTTACAGTAGCAGCTTCGTTGTCTTTTCCGTTTACACCTGAATCCGCCATTTTCCTGCGCGTATATCCGTTGTTTGTTGCTTCGCCACCGCCGAGTACCGAGTGCTGAGTGCTGAGGTGCGCTTGTCGCCTGCTGAACCAGCTATGCCAGGATTTTACCCGTCGACCAGGATTCCAAAGCCAGGCTGTGAAGAGCTAAAACAAATTCCAGGAAAACCCCACAACCTATCTTTGGCCGTGAAATGTCGGGCCTTTATAATCATTGGTCGCGCCAGCGCTGTGACTATGATGAGTCACGCACAGACACATACGCTGACGATACTATTTATTTTTTATGTTCTTGCGACAGATCAGAAAATCGCCTACAAAACTTGTCATGGTTGGAAGGATAACAATTATTTTTGGTAGTTGATCAAAAGTGGTGGTAAAGAAGCAGAACAACGCCGTCGCTAAGCACTTCGCGTCTTTTGTTTTGAATCGCTCTTCGCAGGCCGCGTCAGGAAAAAAAAGTCACGTGTACAGTGTTTTGGGACAGGCAAGGATCTCGAGTTCTTTTAGTAGAATTTTGGGGAAATGGGATGACAATTAACTCTGATGAGTACTGCAACACACTTAAAAAACTGCGTACAGCAATTCAAAACAAAAGACGTGTAATGCTTAGCGTAAGCGACGTCGTCGTTCTGCTTCACCACAATGCAACTCCTCACAAGTCTGCACAGACCCAAAACCTGATCACCTCCTTCGGACGGGAACAACTGAAGTACCCATCGTACAGCCCAGACCCGGCTCCGAGTGACTTTTGAAAAGGCCTTTTATGCCGGGCAGGACTTCGACTCGGACGCTGATCTCACAGGAGAGACTGGACATTGGCTGACATCGCAGGCGGCAGCTTTCTACGATGCGGGCATTCAGAAGCTC